AAGTTCTTTTGGGAAAGGCCCTACAATTCCTTCTTTATGGTGAAGTGCCCTTTCCCTCTATTTCTGAACCTCTACCCCTGACCCCCCGCCTCTGTTTTCCCTCCTTCCCTCCCTCTTTTTGCTTTCTTCCTTCCTTTCCAACCCCTCTCTTTCTTTTGACAATAGTCTTTGGATTTTGGAATTTATCGTAGAGAGTTTTGTGGTTAGTACCTAAGCTAATGCACACGTAAGTCAGAGGACAGAATATGACAATATTTCATGGCAGATGAGAATTTAGAAGTTAGACCATAAATGTAGGATAACAGTCACCTAAAAGCCCCCAATCCTCAAACAGTGACCACTCCAAATTCCTGCTGAAGTATTCCCAGATACTACTTCCTTTTCTATAGGCTGTGTATAGATCTTGGGAGGATCTATACGCTGGGTGCTGACAAAGGGACAGTTTAGGAAAGTACCAGATAGGCCTGCAGATATTCTGGCCTGGGCTCAAAGGCTACATGTGTGCTCTGCCCCAGCTGACACAACAGATCAGGGGCAGGTTGGTAAGGATGTGACAGGCTGAGGAGGGAACTGCTGGAAGAACTCAGGGTATCACCACTCAGGTACTTTTTCCATCCCCAAATGGCCTCATACTTTTTTCTTTCCTTACCCACCCAGAAGATTCAGATTCCTGGAGGCAGGGGTGGGAGATTAGCCCAGCTCAGAACCAGAATGGGGAAAGGAGGAATGAGAACTAAAGGAATCCTCATCAAGGGTCCTGGCATCCTCCCACCAGTGAACTCTGACCACAAGGTCATCTATCCATCTGTATCTAACTGTCTGTCTGTCTGTCTCTATCATCATTATCATCTCTCTCTCTTTCCAGTTGGATAGTCCCTCAGCCCAAATATGTCTCCCCCTCCACTGTTAAGTTCTCACAGTGCTTAGAATCTATACTATCAGTTATTCAATTTTCAGGATTAACAGGATCCTTTTGAAAAAACAGAATATTACCAGAATTACACTGTTTTCATGAGGCAGATGACACTTCTTGGCTCAAAGAACAAAGCAAACTGTTTCAGCCACAGGAACAAAACATTCCTTTAAAAATATTCAGTGTAAAGATTCCAACTCATTGAAGACCAGAGTCATTTTCTTCTGGGGAGAAATAATCAGGACAAGCCCAAAGCAATTCATAAGCCCTGAGGGGATTTAGTGTGAAGCTGGAAAGCTCTAGGCCTATGGGGCCAGCAGAGCCTCACTATGCAGACACCCAGTCCACTTGCTTACCATTAACAAAACTCACTTACCTTCTCTAGAACAGAACTTCTGGCAGAGCCGTTTTCTTAGGACTATCATTGTGGCTATGAACATTAAAGCAATGATGAAGAAGAGGATGAAAATATGAAGCAGTGAAGATGGAGGGATCTTGGAAGGTTCCACATCACCTGGTGGAAAGAAAAGCACCAGAATCCTATTACATGGGAGCTTAGAGGTAAACCAGCAAGTTGGCCAAAACGAGTGGGTTATAACCAACGTTGCCAACTTACTCTGAGCATTTACTCCATGCCAGGTACTGTTCCATGAATTTTGTATGTATTAGCTCCCTTATGCCTCGCAACCACCCTATGAGGCAGGCTCTACTAGGACCCTCACTTTGCTGATGAAGAAAGTGAGGCACAGAGACCTAGGACACTTCCCTGAAGTTATACAGTAAGGGAATAGCTGAGGTATAATCCAGGCTGCCTGATTCCAGATTCCATGCTTTTCCTCATTCTGATACACATATCATATTACATCATCTATCTATCTGTCTGTCTATCTCTATCATCATTATCATCTCTCTCTCTTTCCAGTTGGATAGTCCCTCAGCCCAAATATGTCTCCCCCTCCACTGTTAAGCTCTCACAGTGCTTAGAATCTATACTATCAGTTATTCAATTTTCAGGATTGACAGGATCCTTTTGAAAAAACAGAATATTGTACCTTAATGTAAATTACTACAACTAGCCCTTTTCCTTGTCTCAGCTAACCAAGGTCTGGCACTGAGCTAAAAATGAGTTCAGCAGACAGGTGGATAAGAGGGGTAATTTTGGTAGTATGAGGGCCCCAGATTGACAAAAGGCAGGGATAGAGTGGTGGGAGTCACTACAGGGAGATGAAAGGGTACCTGAGGAAAACTGAGCCCTCTCAAAAAGGCTGAATTTTGCCTTATGGCGTAACTCATAAGGAATAAACATAACGGCCTGGTTGAGGCAAAAATGCTCACGAGGAAGGGCTCAGTTCTATCAACCACCCCTGTCCTTTCTCAATCATAGTGCCATCTGAGAACCATGGACAGTTTTAGCTGGGAAGGGATTAGATATCATTTAATCTGAGGCCCTCATTTTAAAGTTGAGGAAGTAAAGCTCCAAGATGCTAAATTATCTACCTAAGGTCATCACTGCTAAGTAAGTGGCAAGGCCAGGATTGCAAACCCAGATCTATCTGATCCAAACCTCAGGCCTCATAGATATTTGTCTCTATCCAAAAGAGTGTGGTGAACATTAAGAAAAGGATAAAGAAGACTGGCTTATCTACATATTGGATAATCCATATTTAAATTGTTTTCTTGAGGTATAATTGACATACAACATTATATTAGTGTCAGGTGTACAATATAATGATTCAGTATTTATATATATTGTGAATGATCACCACAATAAGTCTAGTTATCATTTCTTGCCATTCATAACTGTATTAATTACAATCTTCTAGGAAGTGCTTACTAAGAACATGCTACATGTAGCACTGAAAGTCAGGGAGTCCTGGGATGTTCTCTGTCTCCACAACAGGAGAGGCCCCAACCTCAATGCCTTTATGTAAACCCTTGCCCTGTGCAGGCCCCCTCACAGTCCCTTCCACACACAAAAGCTCTATTTATTCCTTTAAGATTTTTTAACATTGAACATGTAACAGGACATCAATCTGCTTAGACTGTAAGTATCTGAAGTGCAAAGACTTTCTCTAAGTCCTCTCTGAATCCCCTGAAGAGCCACTCACTAGCTACATGAAAGGTGTCAATGAGGATTTGTTGGGCTGAACTGACCATCTATCTGTCTAGCCCACCTCGCTGAGTCTTCCTTGTTGTTAGTTACCTTGTGGCAGACTGCTTGCTTATCCCTAAATCCACTCTCTGTTTCTTTTCTAGTATTAGCTAGGTGTTAGTTGAACACATGTTTCTCCAAGACTACATTTCTAAGCCTCCCCTGCAATTAGGTGTGGCCAGCCATGTGAACTAGAGAATAGGTCTTTTGAGTCTTGGCCTCCAAACAGTGGATGTGTCTCTTTTCCTTTCTAGGGGCTGAAACATGAATGTGGCAGTGACCCAGCTTTGATGATTCAATAGGGTTAACATCCTGGAGAATGGCAGAGCAATAAGATGGAAAGAGCCCGGATTACTGAATGACTTTATGGAATACAGTGACTTAGCTGCTCTGAACCATCTTCTATCTCTGAATATGACATGAGAGGAAAATACATTTCTGTCTTGTTTGAATCACTGTATTTTGAAGTCTCTTAGCCTATGTCCTAATACACACTCTTCTAAATTATTTTATAATAATTGTATGCTACTTAACAATGATAGGATGATACAATGGGAAATATATCTGATTTATTCTTATCCACAACCCTATGTACTCACAAGGAAGCCATGCCTCTTGCTAAAGGTGCTGTATTTTTTTCCTGTTTCCATCTTTTCTGAGTGCTAAGGATTTTACAAATATATTTCTTTTAATCCTCATAACAACCCTATCAGGCAGGTATCTACTATTATTTACCCTCATTCTACAAATGAGAAACTGAGCTCAGTCATATGTTCTTGTTCTCAAAACTAGTAGGTAGTGGAGAGAGGATTTGAAATTCAAGTCCATCTGGCTTCAGAACCCCTGCTCTTGACCAATGCCAGAGAGTCACCACCAGGAAGGACTTCTGGGAGGACTTGTCCAGCAGCCCTGCAGGGTCTTGTTATAGCTATTTCCTGTGCTGCAGTCCCATTCCATTTCCTAATGAAAATATAACACTGGCTGAGCCGAAGGAACCCTCTTTCAAAAGGAAAATGGTCTCATTGCTTCTCAATTTCTGATTGAACATAGGATGTTCAGCCATCTATTCTAGTACCCCTGGAGCACCTCCCACCCCAGACTGTCACTGCTGTATTTGTTTTATTTGTGGACTTGTGGAGAAACATGTTGTGGGTCACAGAAGTCACCAGAGAGTGGCTCAACTTATGAGAATGAGTAGAAAGGAGACAGTCATAAGGCAATTTAAAAATGCTTTTGAGAAACAGAAACAAGGAACTTGTGGGAGGATGTGTGACTCTGGTTATTTTGTTGCTGGAATTTGTACCACAAAGTAGGGAATCATTTGACCATTCTGATCTGGCTGTCCCCACAGACTGGCAGCTGGGATGACGGGACTGGGGTCATCCAAGATGAAGTCTCCAACCATTAACCTGACACTGACTGAGCACTTACCATGGGCAGAGCACTCAGCTTTTGTGTTAGTCTGGGTATAGAGAAGACTCATGTGAATAATGAAAATACATGGAAAATGAAATAGCTGTGAAAGAAGACAAGATAAGTACAGTCACAGGCAGACAAAGAAATGGTACAAGTAATCTGTCTTAGGAGGCGAGATGAGGGAAAGACTCCTTGTACCCTGGAGTTACGTGAGCCGCCCTGGAGAGCTGGTGAAGAAGGTGAATGATGCTATTTTATATGGAAGGAAATGCCTGAGCAAAGAAGTCATGGTGATGGGAGAGGGGCAAGCAAGTTCAGAGAGCACATGGTGAGGAAGCAGAGCTGACCGAGCAGAGGATCCATCTCAGGGAATAGAGAGGATGAATGTAAAGCTGGGAAGGATGGGTAGAACTAGGTTGAGAATCTCTAATTGCATAAAGATCCCTCCACTTCCCCACTGGTTGCATTCATGAGTGATATCCTAGGAGCTCCCAAGCTCTGATGTAGACCCCACAGGGCCCTCCCATGATTGCTGACTATTCCGTTATCTCTACTGGCTTCCATGGAGAGAAGGGCCAGCTTACTTCAACCTTAAGTTCTCACTACCCCAAGGCTTCCAGAGTGATGGCCAGTCTGCCCTTCCACTTCTCTACCAGGAAGAAAAGAATACTGATGTGAAAATGATGCAAAGGGTAGATTCTAGTTATTTCCAAATTCCTCTTACCTGGCCTCTGTTTCCTGGCAAGAATCCTTATGTAAGTGTCATTCTAGAAAACCACACTTCACCCAAAGTATTGGCCAACACTTAATCAGGCAGAAAATTCCACATGACAAGTTGACTAAACAATTTCTGGAAAAAATTAATTCTACTAGGATCGTTAATATTTAAGTCCCTAGAGCTCTAGTATGAATTAGTTATAGCTCAGTTTTTATAAGGTGACAAGTCTGGTGGTCTAACCTGTAATAAAAAGAGAGGTAGGGTGTGTTGAAAGGTCAACTTGCTTAATTCGCTATATTCACTCAAAGTTGGCCCTAAAAATGGTGCATTTCTAATGTCTTTATTTCTATCAAGATCCTCACCATGACTCTTCTTGTTGCTTCCTCACTTCATTATAATAATTTAGTTAGAAAGAGGCTGGGCTAACTTTAAAATTGGGTAGTGAAGTGTGGATAGGTGGGGAAGTGGGGAATTGAGGGTCTGGAGATGACAGTGGAGCTGGCTGCCTCTGAAAACTATATCAGGGAGGATTGTTTTTCCAGGAAAAAAAATGCTAGGAAATTGATGATGAGATGGGCATTGTCACTTCAGCGTTCTCAGTTTGGTCTACGGATTGGTGCCAGTCTAAGATAAAATTTAATTTAAGATAGAGCAGGTATCTCTGATGCCCCAGCTCCGATTTCAGCCATGGCTGAATGTGGCTGAATGATGGATGGTTCCGTGCAGGTTCTTACTTCCCCAACAGTCTCACTTAACAATGTGCTGCTTCTGTGTCAGAGCTCCCCCAGTGCTGAGGGTTGGTCTCTCTCATCTTCACTTCCAGTGAGTTAGTGGTACAGTTTTTGTTTCTTATTGCCACAAATTTAGGCTCTACTGGATTAAAGGTCCTACTTCCTAGTGGCAAATGCTTCTACCAAAGGATACTGTACCAAGGGATATGTTACACTGCATCTAAAGTTATAGCTACTGCCTAGTCAGCTTGAGCTCTGCCCACTAGTGGATCAGCAGGCAACGAAAAGAATCATTGCACTGGTAGAGTAATCAATCTTGATTACCAAGAGGAACTTGAATGGTGCTATCTAATGGAGACAAGGAAGATTATATCTGGAACTCAGAGACCCACTGATTCTCTGAGTCTTGTAACTTCCTTGCCCAGTAATAACAATGAAACGGCAATTCTAGCAACTTCAGTTGCTGTTAAAGGAAACAGTCTGTTAAAGGCAAGGCGACTAAGGGCTCAGGTCTCTTAGGGTTTAAAGTCTGAGTCAACCCCCCCCCCTTTCCTCTACCTTCCAGGCAAACAAACTATTCCATCTGAAGTGCTGAGTGAGGGAAACCTAGAGTGTATAGTGGATAACAATGACACATATCAGTTATGGCTTGGGATCAACTGCAGCAGCAGGAACTGTAATTTGTTCCATGAACTCTTGTATATGTATCTTGTGCAAAGATTGTAGCTGCTTCCCTGATGGAAGGCTCAGAGACAGTGGACTTAATGCAGGGCACAAGTGGACCCGAGCAGTGCAAGGGATAAACTGGTAGTCCTGCCTCACCTCCTCTTGGCTTCACCTCTGATTTCAGCCACAGATTGGCCAAAACTCATTTCACAGTCAGTGACTCACCTCAACTGCTTTCAGCCCTGGAATGACTTTGAAGCTATAGATGCTGGTGGGAGCTCATTCAGCTCACATGTATGCATAGCTCACAGCAGAAGGAAGTTAACACTCCTGGGGACAAGTGTTAACCACAGGAGTAAAAGCAGATGGATTAGTTCTTCCACTTGAAGCCCTTTGAGTAAACATCTTAGGAGACCATTGATACACTTCTCAGGTGGTCTTTGAGTATTTGAGCTCCTACTGCCCATGCCAACAACTCTGATAATGCACCCTTATATTTGCTTTTCCTTCTTTCCTGTCTTAATCTCCTAAACCTCTCACTTCTGCTCCCTGGAGTCATCACCTAAATACCTGCATGCCACACAAGTCCTTATCATAAGTTCTGTTTTGTCTAACTAAGATGAAGGGCAAATAGTGAAACATAATGACAACGCAGTAAATCTTCTATAAAGTCAAATTTAATCAGTACTAGGGACTGTCCTTTACTCTGAGATTATATCCTTTATTGGTATAGTGACAGAATAATGTCTCCCCTCAAAGATGTATGTCCATGTCACAATCCCAGGACCCTGTGAATGTGTTGCCCTACAGAGCAAAAGGATTTTGTAGATGTGATTGTATTAAGGACCTCAAAACAGGAAAATTATCCTGAATTATCAGGTTGAGGTGTGTTTTGGGTTGGGAGAAGCATCTAACGTACTCATAAGCATCCTTAAAAGGTAGAAGAGGGAGGTGAGAGAGTTAAAGAAAGAGATGTGATGACAGAAGCAGAGATCTGAGTAATGTAACTGCTGGCCTTGGAGGTGGAGGAAAGGGCCACAGAATGCAGGTGGCCTCTAAAAGGTGGAAAAATCAAGAAAATGAATTCTTCCTTACAGCTTCCACAATCCCATCGACACCATGATTTGAGCTCACTGAAGCCTTTTTCAGACTTCTGACCTCCAGAAGTGTGAGCTAATGCATTTGTGTTGTCTTAAGCCCACGATGTTTGAGGAACAATAGGAATAATAGGAAACATGACTTTGGTGATTAAATGACAGGTTTCTTATGAAATGATTATGATACTAGATGTTAGCTTCTCTAATTTGGCAAATGAATGTTCCTAGCAGATAAAAAATTGTCAGACTTCCAAAGTGAAATTTTGCTGGCATACCAAGTTCTAAAGTACGGGATTCAGCATAGCCAGTGAAGGCTCTTAAAGATTTTTTTTTTTGAGGCCAGTTTTCCTGGAAAACCCTATAACCACTTGGCTGGCACCAAAGCCAGCAAAGTACCATTTATCCTGCTGACTCATGGCATGGTGTCTGAATCACAGTGATTAACTTTTGCACTGGATGTTTTAAGTTTCCTCTGTGGATCTATTCTCTATACTCCAACACTCAGTTCTGAGCTCTGGGAGACTGATCTTATGAACAAATCAGTGGACTTCCTTGTTCTCTGATGTCTAGCTGGGTTCAGCCAATGGGAAGCACCAGCAGGAGACTGGAGGGCAGTAGGAGAACGAGGCTGGGGTATCTATTCCTCAGCTTCCACCCTGGAGTCACCGCAGGCAGCAGCGTCCCTGTGCTGGAGGACACAGCTCCTGTCAAGTGCTCTCCCTACAGCTCCCTTCTCTAGATTCTACCAACCTTCCAAGGGTGGTCACTGCTCCCCAACTTTTGAAGCCCCAGGTGTCCTGCACTACCTTTGGCAGTTTCCCTAAAGTCTGACCACACCTTCATAAATAGTCCCTTTAGAACATTTTCCTCAAATGACTTATTCTGAATGCACCATCCATTTCTTGTCAGAACCCTGAGGATAGAGCTAGGAAGGGCGGGCAGCTTTTACCTTGGTAAATGATGGCTGAAGTAAGTTCCTTCATACTGGGATTCCAGAACACACAGCTGAAATTTCTTCCAGGGTGTGGCTTTAGGCGCAGAACGCTAGTGACCTGGTAGAGGCCTTCTGAGGTCTTGGTGTGGCTGGTGTTGGCAGGAACGCTGATGTTTGGCCAAGACACTTCTGCCAGGGGGTAACCTTCAGCCTGACAGGTGAACTCTACCTCATCTGTCCCTGGGACCTTAAGGTTACGAGTGTTTATTTTCTTGTAGGAAGCTAGATGAGAGAGGAAGAAACATAAGTAAATCTCCCTTTTCTGATTCCTGTAGATCTCTGTACTCAATGCCATGTGAAGTAAAATCATCATTATCAATATTAAGTAAAAATGGTTTCAATTTTTTAAACATTTCATATGTCTCACATATTGTGCTGTTTTACACACATTGAAGTATTTAATTCTTACACTACAACAAAACAGCATTGTTGATATTCCCAATTTTTGTTAGAGGTAACTGAGGCTAGAGAGGTTGAGCATTTCACTCAGAGTCACAGGACTAGTGACTGGTGGAGCCAATATATGCACAAAATCTGATTCCAAATCTCAGTAGTGCTTCAGACTACCACACTATGTGTCTTCCGTATTACTGTAAATGATCTCACAATTGAGGGCTGGAGAGAAGACACGATGGGTAAGTAAAATCACTAGATAACCCTCAAATCTCACTTTATTTAGCACTTTTTCTAAAAAATTTTTCTTTCCAATTCACCATTTCCTCTTTTTTAAAAAAATTAATAGCGGTGGTATATTTCTAAAATACTAAACAAACAATAAACTGTGAACTTAATCACATGAGTTCTTACACAATTTCAAAACAGGAAAATGAAAGCTCTCAGCCACAGTCATTAATAATCACATTGGATCGGCATTATTTATTAATTATTACATGCTCAACTGATTCAAGGCTGTACAATACCTAAAATCATTCCAAAGCAAGTATACATTTTGTCTTTTAAATTCTGACTAGATTACAAAATGCATGTATTTGTATTTAGTTAAATGTCTAAATTTTCTTTCCACTTCAAGAGAAGTGGAAAACTTTTCCTACTTTACCCTTTCCTCTGTTCTCTTTGAGGTTAGGAGGAGAGCAAATAAAGACCTAAATTCTGTCTACTAGAGTTTCAAGAAAGGAGTGTCGAGAAGCTCTTCTCTAACCCCTACACACACACCCATATGTGCGCACACACTCTTGTGCAGTGACGCTTAATGAATCAATTAGATACGCCTCCCTGCCCTTTAGAAACCTGAGACCTAAAATAGACACAAGTGACACTAACAGCAACAGGAAGACACAAGGACAAATTGTCCAATTATCTCAGATGACAGCAAAAATCAATAAACATTAACCACATATGCAAATACCAGGCAGTGTGCAAAGTAACTTGTTGATTTTTGGTGACAGGAAGAGGCAGTGAGCACTAGCTTTCATTACATAGGAAATACTTCTTCAAGAAAGATTTTCAATGCAATTATTAAAGATACCTATATATAACACAGGTATGATGAAACTTTTTCTTAAATTGTTGGGAAGAGCATAAATGGGCACAAAGTGTGAAAATCCATTTTATATTAAAATAATAACAGCCATGTGGAAAACATCAAATATGTATGATTTACTAAGTGTTTTCTAGATGCTGAGTTCATGCCCTGTGCTTTTACATACTGTGGAGGTGGAAAGAATGTCCCAACCTCTGCACAATTTTTGCCACTTCAGAATCTCCCTTGTGTGTCTTTATGCTGAGTTGCTAACTTGATTAATTACAGCTGAAGTCCCTCACTGGGTCATGGTTCACTGGAGAGCAGGGTGACTGCATCCTGAAGTGCTGTTCATAACCTGTGGAGTCTCTTGAAGTTCTTGTCCCCACACAGTAGAGCATGCTGGCCTGTCTGTCTCCAAAAGCTCTCACCTCTTCCCAGCTCACAGTATTCCAGCTTCTGCTTGTGACTGGATAGGTGGTACAGATTTTCTTATGTTTGAGGCTGGATGGATGAATGACTTTGGGTTCTGATCTACAAACCTGGACTCTCAGGTTAAGAGGAGGAAGCAAGAAATAAGAGGCTGATATTCTAAGTCATGTTCTTCAGTGCAAATTACCGAACAAGCCCCAAAGTTGGGAGAGAGGAAGGAGGAAAATCATGTGCTCATCCAGTTATTACTTTAAAAAATGGAGTTCATCTCCCATTCGGCTACTGATTCTCATGCCTATAGCTCACTTAGTCAAGAACTTGGAGAGGAGATGGGGTGAGTGATTCTAAAAACTGACTCCATACA